CAACTTTAAATAAATATAGACAACACGTTCTACTTAATTAAATAGACTTTTTAATAAATGTTTTCTCCTACAACATCAGAGTGCAGCGCCACATTAAATACGCACTACAATGACAATAGTTTAAAGCGATTTGAAGCATGTGTTTTTTTTTTTGGGGGGGGGGGGGGCAGAGCTTTGTGACGTCATATTTGAGGGGGGGGGGGTCTGACTTTTTGTGACGCCGTGTGACGAGGGGGTAGGGTCCAAAATCGTCCAAAATCGAGTGACGTCATTTATGGACGGCCCCTTACTACAATAACACCACACACACACGACACCACAATCGGTGGCGAATATCTGAACCGGATTCCTGTTTGATTGCTGTTTGAGAACTTCCAACCACACACACGCACACACACACGTGCACACACACGCATACACACACACGCACACACACACACACGCACACACACACACACGCACACTCACACACGCACACACGAACACACACACGCACACACGCACACACACGCACACACCCACACACGCACACACACACACACGCACACACACGCACACACACACACGCACACACACACACGCTATGTACGACGATCAGGAGCTAAGAGCCAATGTCGAGTTCTGCTGCTGCTGCCACGACGAGAGGGCTTCAGCAAAGAGAGAGAGAGTTCGTGTCGTGTCGCTGTTCCTCCTCTGCTGAACGAGCTCAGACCACAGTGCGTTTACTGCGCGGTCCCTCGTTTCGGTTGCTTGGCCACACTCGGACTGACCGCTCTGTGGCTTGGTATCTCCTCTCGTTCTCTTTGGGTCTCTGTGAGTCAGAGGTCGCAAACGGGTTTTGATTCCTTACCCGTACCCGTACCCGGCCGCACCAGGGTCGCAAATGGGTACCCTACCCGTACCCGTACCCTACCCGAAATGAGTGACAAACGGTGACTCACCAATGACTCACGGCCTACCCGTACCCGTACCCGGCCGCACCAGGGTCGCAAACGGGTACCCGTACCCGGCCGGGTATGGGTAGCCGGGTATCGGGTAGGGTACGGGTATCGGGTACCCGGTTGCGACCTCTGCTGTGAGCGCACGTTAGGTCTATGTGTCGATGCAGGTCTCTATGAGTCCCTGTGTATCTCTTTGCGTCTCTACATGGGTTTATTATGCGGTCCATAGTTCGGAGGGCATGCCCACAATCGAATTACCGTGCCATGTGTCGTGCTGCTATTACTATGGTGGTAATTTGTAATCCATTACATTGAATCGTGATCCATCGCAACGGGTTCAATTAAATTGCGCGACGTTACTTTGCATCACGCTGTGTTACGTTTCAAGTTCAATTAATTAATTCAATGTATCACTTGCAATCCATTGCATTTGATTGTAATCCATTACATTGTGTCACCGTTACGTTGAATTGTAATCCGCTACAAAATGTTGTAAGCCACTGCATTCCATGGCAGTCCGTCACATTGTGCTCCATTACATTGTAATCCACTGCATATTATTGTAATCCATCACATGGGGTCGCCACGGTGGCTAGGAGATGTTAACTACCTCGCCTGGTATACAGGAGGTCGTGGGTTCTATCCCGACCACGACGCCTGCTGCTGTATATTTGGAGTTTGTGTCTCTCTCTCTCCCCGCGGTCGCGTGGATTCTTGTCCGGGGTCCTCCGGTTTTTCACCCTCCACAACGCCACGCGTTCAGAGTGTCTGGCTGCTGCTCGACATTTCCGCGTGATGACCACAAGCCACTTGGTTGAGCAATAATTTGTGATCGCAAGGCCGCTCCTGAAAAAGAGCTATTCTAGCTCAGTGGGGCCTTTACCTGGTGAAATAAAAATAGTTTACAGTTTAGTTTGCATTGTGATTCATTAGATTACATTATCATCCACTAAACAACGTACCTGGTGAAATAAAAATAGTTTACAGTTTAGTTTGCATTGTGATTCATTAGATTACATTATCATCCACTAAACAACGTACCTGGTGAAATACAAATAGTTTACAGTTTAGTTTGCATTGTGATTCATTAGATTACATTATCATCCACTAAACAACGTACCTGGTGAAATAAAAATAGTTTACAGTTTAGTTTGCATTGTGATTCATTAGATTACATTATCATCCACTAAACAACGTACCTGGTGAAATAAAAATAGTTTACAGTTTAGTTTGCATTGTGATTCATTAGATTACATTATCATCCACTAAACAACGTACCTGGTGAAATAAAAATAGTTTACAGTTTAGTTTGCGTTGTGATTCATTAGATTACATTATCATCCACTAAACAACGTACCTGGTGAAATAAAAATAGTTTACAGTTTAGTTTGCATTGTGATTCATTAGATTACATTATCATCCACTAAACAACGTACCTGGTGAAATAAAAATAGTTTACAGTTTAGTTTGCATTGTGATTCATTAGATTACATTATCATCCACTAAACAACGTACCTGGTGAAATAAAAATAGTTTACAGTTTAGTTTGCATTGTGATTCATTAGATTACATTATCATCCACTAAACAACGTACCTGGTGAAATAAAAATAGTTTACAGTTTAGTTTGCATTGTGATTCATTAGATTACATTATCATCCACTAAACAACGTACCTGGTGAAATAAAAATAGTTTACAGTTTAGTTTGCATTGTGATTCATTAGATTACATTATCATCCACTAAACAACGTACCTGGTGAAATAAAAATAGTTTACAGTTTAGTTTGCATTGTGATTCATTAGATTACATTATCATCCACTAAACAACGTACCTGGTGAAATAAAAATAGTTTACAGTTTAGTTTGCATTGTGATTCATTAGATTACATTATCATCCACTAAACAACGTACCTGGTGAAATAAAAATAGTTTACAGTTTAGTTTGCATTGTGATTCATTAGCTTACATTATCATCCACTAAACAACGTACCTGGTGAAATAAAAATAGTTTACAGTTTAGTTTGCATTGTGATTCATTAGATTACATTATCATCCACTAAACAACGTACCTGGTGAAATAAAAATAGTTTACAGTTTAGTTTGCATTGTGATTCATTAGCTTACATTATCATCCACTAAACAACGTACCTGGTGAAATAAAAATAGTTTACAGTTTAGTTTGCATTGTGATTCATTAGATTACATTATCATCCACTAAACAACGTACCTGGTGAAATAAAAATAGTTTACAGTTTAGTTTGCATTGTGATTCATTAGATTACATTATCATCCACTAAACAACGTACCTGGTGAAATAAAAATAGTTTACAGTTTAGTTTGCATTGTGATTCATTAGATTACATTATCATCCACTAAACAACGTACCTGGTGAAATAAAAATAGTTTACAGTTTAGTTTGCATTGTGATTCATTAGATTACATTATCATCCACTAAACAACGTACCTGGTGAAATAAAAATAGTTTACAGTTTAGTTTGCATTGTGATTCATTAGATTACATTATCATCCACTAAACAACGTACCTGGTGAAATAAAAATAGTTTACAGTTTAGTTTGCATTGTGATTCATTAGATTACATTATCATCCACTAAACAACGTACCTGGTGAAATAAAAATAGTTTACAGTTTAGTTTGCATTGTGATTCATTAGATTACATTATCATCCACTAAACAACGTACCTGGTGAAATAAAAATAGTTTACAGTTTAGTTTGCATTGTGATTCATTAGATTACATTATCATCCACTAAACAACGTACCTGGTGAAATAAAAATAGTTTACAGTTTAGTTTGCATTGTGATTCATTAGATTACATTATCATCCACTAAACAACGTACCTGGTGAAATAAAAATAGTTTACAGTTTAGTTTGCATTGTGATTCATTAGATTACATTATCATCCACTAAACAACGTACCTGGTGAAATAAAAATAGTTTACAGTTTAGTTTGCATTGTGATTCATTAGATTACATTATCATCCACTAAACAACGTACCTGGTGAAATAAAAATAGTTTACAGTTTAGTTTGCATTGTGATTCATTAGATTACATTATCATCCACTAAACAACGTACCTGGTGAAATAAAAATAGTTTACAGTTTAGTTTGCATTGCGATTCATTAGATTACATTATCATCCACTAAACAACGTACCTGGTGAAATAAAAATAGTTTACAGTTTAGTTTGCATTGTGATTCATTAGATTACATTATCATCCACTAAACAACGTACCTGGTGAAATAAAAATAGTTTACAGTTTAGTTTGCATTGTGATTCATTAGATTACATTATCATCCACTAAACAACGTACCTGGTGAAATAAAAATAGTTTACAGTTTAGTTTGCATTGTGATTCATTAGATTACATTATCATCCACTAAACAACGTACCTGGTGAAATAAAAATAGTTTACAGTTTAGTTTGCATTGTGATTCATTAGATTACATTATCATCCACTAAACAACGTAATCAATTACACGATGCTACATTGTAATCCATTACATTGTAATCCATCACAGGATCGTGCATTGTAATCCATTACATTGTAATCCAGGATACAATGTAATCCATTACACGATGCTACATTGTAATCCTTACATTGTAATCCACGACAAGATGTAATCCATTACACGATGTTACATTGTAATCCTTACATTGTAATCCACGACACAACGTAATCCACCACGGGATCGTTCATTGTAACCCATAACATTGTAATCCACGACACAATATAATCCATTACATGATGCTACACTGTAATCCATTACATTATAATCCACGACACAATGTAATCCATTACACGATGCTACATTGTAATCCATGACATTACAATCCACGACACAATGTAATCCATTACACGATGCTACATTGTAATCTTTACATTGTAATCCACGACACAATGTAATCCATTACATTGCAATCCACGACACAACATAATCCATTACACGATGCTACATTGTAATCCGTTACATTACATTGCAATCCACGGCACTGCGTCCGTACACACTCACACTGCCTCGCTGTGTCTCTCCGCCCAGCATCCCTGCCCAGCCCCCCTCCCAGCCCGGCCAAATGGACGTGGGCCCCCCACCCCAGACAATGTGGGCCCCCCACTCCTCTCTGCTGGACCTGGAACAGGGTGCTGACCCCCTTCCATTCCCGGCCACCACAGCTGCCCAGCAGCCACCGTACGGATTCTTCCCGCATCAGCAGGAGCACGGCTACCCCATTGAGGACGGATTGTCATCGCACATAGGTGCGTGCGTTTCTGTGTGTGCGTGCGTTTCTGTGTGTGCGTGCGTTTCTGTGTGTGCGTGCGTTTCTGTGTGTGCGTGCGTTTCTGTCTGTGAGTGCGTTTCTGTGTGTGCGTGCGTTTCTGTGTGTGCGTGCGTTTCTGTGAGTGCGTGCGTTTCTGTGTGTGCGTGCGTTTCTGTGTGTGCGTGCGTTTCTGTCTGTGCGTGCGTTTTTGTGTGCGTGCGTTTCTGTGTGAGTGCGTTTCTGTGTGTGCGTGCGTTTCTGTGTGTGCGTGCGTTTCTGTGTGTGCGTGCGTTTCTGTGTGTGCGTGCGTTTCTGTCTGTGCGTGCTTTTCTGTGTGTGCGTGCGTTTCTGTGTGTGCGTGCGTTTCTGTGTGTGCGTGCGTTCTGTCTGTGCGTGCGTTCTGTGTGTGCGTGCGTTTCTGTGTGTGCGTGCGTTTCTGTGTGTGCGTGCGTTTCTGTGTGTGCGTGCGTTTCTGTGTGTGCGTGCGTTTCTGTCTGTGAGTGCGTTTCTGTCTGTGAGTGCGTTTCTGTGTGTGCGTGCGTTTCTGTGTGTGCGTGCGTTTCTGTGTGTGCGTGCGTTTCTGTGTGTGCGTGCGTTTCTGTGTGTGCGTGCGTTTCTGTGTGTGCGTGCGTTTCTGTGTGTGCGTGCGTTTCTGTGTGTGCGTGCGTTTCTGTGTGTGCGTGCGTTTCTGTGTGTGCGTGCGTTTCTGTGTGTGCGTGCGTTTCTGTGAGTGCGTGCGTTTCTGTGTGTGCGTGCGTTTCTGTGTGTGCGTGCGTTTCTGTCTGTGCGTGCGTTTTTGTGTGCGTGCGTTTCTGTGTGTGAGTGCGTTTCTGTGTGTGCGTGCGTTTCTGTGTGTGCGTGCGTTTCTGTGTGTGCGTGCGTTTCTGTGTGTGCGTGCGTTTCTGTCTGTGCGTGCTTTTCTGTGTGTGCGTGCGTTTCTGTGTGTGCGTGCGTTTCTGTGTGTGCGTGCGTTTCTGTCTGTGCGTGCGTTTCTGTGTGTGCGTGCGTTTCTGTGTGTGCGTGCGTTTCTGTGTGTGCGTGCGTTTCTGTGTGTGCGTGCGTTTCTGTGTGTGAGTGCGTTTCTGTCTGTGAGTGCGTTTCTGTGTGTGCGTGCGTTTCTGTCTGTGAGTGCGTTTCTGTGTGTGCGTGCGTTTCTGTGTGTGCGTGCGTTTCTGTGTGTGCGTGCGTTTCTGTGTGTGCGTGCGTTTCTGTGTGTGCGTGCGTTTCTGTGTGTGCGTGCGTTTCTGTGTGTGCGTGCGTTTCTGTGTGTGCGTGCGTTTCTGTGTGTGCGTGCGTTTCTGTGTGTGCGTGCGTTTCTGTGTGTGCGTGCGTTTCTGTGTGTGCGTGCGTTTCTGTGTGTGCGTGCGTTTCTGTGTGTGCGTGCGTTTCTGTGTGTGCGTGCGTTTCTGTGTGTGCGTGCGTTTCTGTGTGTGCGTGCGTTTCTGTGTGTGCGTGCGTGCCCGTACGTGCCGGTGCGTGCGTGCGTTTCTGTGTGTGCGTGCGTGCCCGTGCGTGTGTGCCCATGCGTGTCCGTGCGTGCGTGCCCGTGCGTGTATGGCCATGCGTGCCCGTGCGTGCGTGCCCGTGCGTGCGTGCCCGTGCGTGTGTGCCCGTGCGTGCCGGTGTGTGTCTTTGTTTGTGTGTTCAGTGCCGGCCTTCATAGCTGCTGCCCGCGAAACAGCAACTTGCCCATCGACAGTCTGTTAAAGGCTACATGGGGGAACTTTGTATTTGTGACTGTGTATTTGTTTGCATGCGTGTCCGTGCGTGTGTCCATGCATGAGTGTTCATGCGTGTGTCCGTGTGTGTCTGCGTGTGTCTGCGTGTGTCCGTGCATGAGTGTTCATGCGTGTATCCGTGTGTGTCTGCGTGTGTCCTTGCATGCGTGTTCATGCGTGTGTCCGTGTGTGACTGTGTGTGTCTGTGCATGCGTGGCCACGTGTGTGTCCGTGCGTCTGTGTAAGTGGTGCACCGAGCTTGGCACAAGCGCCGTGGGGACGTCACCGCCACTTAGTGGCGAACGGCGGTTGTTGGTTGTGTTGCGGGTAGCGCTACGCTGCGCTACGAACCCGGCGACCCGAATTAAATTCCCGCTCACGGCCACCAACACCGGTGATGATGATCTTAACCGGTCCTGGGCCTCCCCGAGGTCGACTCAGCCGCAAATTAATACGTGGGAAGACAAAGATGGCCGGGCGTGGTACCGGGAAACTCGCCCCCTCGTGTGCCGTGCCGGCCTTCATAGGTGCTATTCGCCAACAGCACTTGCCCCAACAGTTTGTCAAGGCTATAAGGGTTATCTTTGCCTTTGTCCTGTGTTACAGATCAATCAGTTGGTCAGTCATTTAATACGTTCACGACTCATTCAAATGATAAGTTAATTCATCAGTGGATCATTCATTCAAATGACGAGTCGGGCGCTCTGTTAAGTTAATGAATCGTTGAATCAATAAATCCTGTATTGGATGAGCACATTAAGTCAATCACTCATTCATCTATATACATAAGCATCTACTGCCTCCCCTGGGTGCGTTGAAAGCACGTGGCATTCAACCGCAACTCGTTCACCCAGCCATGAGCCATTCAATCCGTAACTCAGTTGAACGAATCGATTTATTTACGATACATTTTTTATTGTTTATTGAATATATTTATATGTATTGAATATATATTGCATATTTATACTGGTAGGAACCACCTGGTTCCACCAGCCCACAGGGGATTATTGTGTCCGTCCGTCGTGCATCCAAAAATGGGAGGGGTGGGGCTGGGTGCAGAGGGGAGGGTGGGGAGGAGCTGGGTGGGGAGGGGAGGGATGGGGAGGGGCTGGATGGGGAGGGTGGGGCTGGGTGAGGAGGGTTGGGAGGGGTTGGGAGGGGTTGGGTGGGGAGCTTGGGGAGGGGCTGGGTGGGGAGGGTGGGGCTGGGTCGGGGGTGGGAGGGGTGGGGCTGGGTGGGGAGGGGCTGGTCACCCCGTGGTGCCCTTATAAAACTCAACGTTTAACCTACGCATGCCGGCTTGTGCTCGCCCTCACAGTCGGGCATATTTGCGGAATACACCACGCCGCCGTTGACCCTGCAGGCCATTGACCGAGCAACCCAACGTTCCTACCAGCTCCCTCCGCAGGAATGTGTTTTATTGAATATTAATTTCATTTAGAATTGATTCAACTGGTGCATTTACAAGTTGTCCGTCAAAGGTCAAGGAACGAGCCCAATGAACAATATTTTATACCCACGTGACTTTACCAAAACAACCAAAGAGAATGGATTCCCAATGAGCAGCGCTGTTGCGAGCCGTACGTCCGACCAATCGGAATCCCCTCCCCGTCGACCATTTTTCCCCCCCCACGTCCGGCGACATCGGATCGGAGACGTTTGCCTCGACTCTCGTTCGTTCGCGACGTCCACCGGTGCCGGCTGCCGCTGGCCGCTCGGACGCGGGGGTCTGCGCTCGGCAACTGCGACGGGGAAAACATTTCTAGAGATTGGTCCACTGGGATCTGTCGATCAGCAGCAGCAGCAAAACAATTATCATATTTTTTACTGGCAAATGAGGTTCCAATGGTGTAAATGCTTCACCCCATACTCTGATGGTGCGTTGTCTTTGAGTTGTGCGCCTTTTGGCGTCATCTGGTCCAACACCATGTGAGACTAGGCTCTAAGGAAAGCTGTCTCGGGTGTGGACCAATCACCTTCAAGGACAGTGCACATTATCAGAGTTGTGTTTTTTGTTTGCATTATGACTGCAGGTATTGTGGTCTATGCAAACATGACTCCTGGTAAAAAAAGGTGTCAGTTTTGTTGCCCGATAAAAGGCAAAAAAAACAATTATCATAATTTTTACTGGCAAATGAGGTTCCAATGGCAGCAGCAGCTCATCGGATTTATTGACAATCACACTTTCAGTCCGCGACTGGGTAATTGATCATTAAATCACGGCGGCGGTGGCTCTGGCCCAAAACTCCTCCCACCGGGCCGTCTTTGTTTCCCTCCCCCACCCCCCCCCCCCACCAGTGCTGATGCTTACACACCACAACAGGTACTTATTTACGGCTGAGTCGACCTAGGGGAGGCCCTGTCACAGCACAGATGAAGAAGCTAGGCGCGTGTTTATTTTCCGCGCCGCGTGGTTTCCGCTTGAGGCGGCGACGCCTGAAGGCGCTCATCCGGCAGTGGGACAGATCGTGGCTCGTGATGCCGATGCTGGTTATCGTTGATGGAGTGCGACAGTCACCGACATCGTGGTGTCGTGAGACTCGGCGCAAGTCAGGGGAGCAGGAGGAGGCCCGGGGCACAGAGGGGAAGAGGATGGCGGAGGTGGGAGAATGGAGCAAGAGGCAGGAGGAATAGGGAAGAGGAGGAGAGGGAAGAGGGGGGGGAGAGGAGAGAGGAGGAGGAGGGGTGAGTCGGGGTTGGGGGGGGTAATTTAGGAAGTTGGCCCGGCGGTGATGAATGCTGTCCCGGGTAGTTTCGTTTCCCGGATGTCGGCGTCTATGTATGAGAGAGCGCTAGCGTCGCACTTCGCCATTTCACGAAGCCGCTCGCGCCTCGCCGACCCCGTCCCTCTCCGCCTCGACGATCTGCCGTGACAGCGCCCTCGCCGGCGGTAGGAGCCAGCCGGGGCCCACCCCGTGTCGGTGTGTCCGCCCCGCGTCCGTGTGTCCGTCTTGTGTCGGTGGGCCGGTGGGCCGGTGGGCCGGTGGGCTGGTGGGCCGGTGGGTCGGTAGGCGCGTTTGCCGCTCGGTCCGTTGCACGGTTGCTTGCTCGGTCTCGGCGGTTCGGTCTTGGAGGGGGGGGGGGGGGCGTGGGTTGGGCCGGTCGGTTCGGCGGGTCAAGACCTGCGATCGGTGAGTCGATATTTTCCATTGGTGGGTGGGCCAGACTGTGTGTCCATCTGTAGGTGGATCGATTTGTCTGCTGGTTGGTGGGTCAGTCATTTGGCTGGTGAGTGGGTAAGTCAGTCAGTCCGTCCGTCTGTGGGTCAGTCATTTGGCTGTTGAGTGGGTAAGTCAGTCAGTCCGTCTGTGGGTCAGTAATTTGGCTGGTGAGTGGGTAAGTCAGTCAGTCAGTCCGTCTGTGGGTCAGTCATTTGGCTGGTGAGTGGGTAAGTCAGTCAGTCAGTCCGTCTGTGGGTCAGCCATTTGGCTGGTGAGTGGGTAAGTCAGTCAGTCAGTCCGTCTGTGGGTCAGCCATTTGGCTGGTGAGTGGGTAAGTCAGTCAGTCAGTCCGTCTGTGGGTCAGTCATTTGGCTGGTGAGTGGGTAAGTCAGTCAGTCAGTCAGTCTGTGGGTAAGTCACTTGGCTGGTGAGTGGGTAAGTCAGTCAGTCAGTCAGTCTGTGGGTCAGCCATTTGGCTGGTGAGTGGGTAAGTCAGCCAGTCAGTCCGTTCGTGGGTCAGTCATTTGGCTGGTGGGTGTGGAAGTCAGTCAGTCAGTCTGTGGGTAAGTCACTTGGCTGGTGAGTGGGTAAGTCAGTCAGTCAGTCCGCCGGTGGGTCAGTCATTTGGCTGTTAGACCAGTGGGTCGGTCTGTCCGTCTGTGAGTTGTTTGGGTCTATCTGTGGGTCAGTCCGTCTGTGCAGACTCCGATTCCAGGAGCCTCGTGCATCTGGACCTGACTTTGTGCCTCCTCTTGTCTACTCGGCCTCATGGCGCGTAACCGATGAGCGTTGGTGTTGGAGGCAACTGGCGAGACGGTGGCTAGGAGATGTTAACTACCTCGCCTGGTTTCCAGGAGGTCGTGGGTTTGATCCCCACCGTGACGTTCATCACATTTGGAATCGACGTCACGCGTTCAAAGTAGTGTGCTGCTGTGATTTTTCCACGCACATCCAACCAGGTCTCTTCTGGAAAAAGAGCTGCATATCTCGGTGGGCCTTAGTTGGTAAAATAAAAAGAGTTAACAGTTTGGAGTTTAATAGCTTAAAGGAATCCTTCTTCCCGCGTCTCTGCTTCGCAGCACGGATGGCGAACGGGGCCTCTCCGCTCAGCGTCATGTCCTCATTCACCTGGCTGGACACCACTTCCTACCACCCTCACTACCTGCAACAACAACAACAACAGCAGCAGCAGCAACATCATCATCATCATCAGCAGCAACAACATCATCAGCAGCAGCAGCCGTGGTCCCTCGCCCAAGGCGGTCACTCTCCGGACTCGAGCGGTGCGTCCTCGTCCCCCCGCGAGGGTGAGCGTCAGCCTGTCGCCAAGTCGTCGTCCTCGCCACCGCCGGCGCCGCCGTCGCTGTCCGCGTCGCCCGCCCCGCTGTCGTCCGAGCGCTCCCTCAGCCCCGGCAGTGACAACACCGACGGGACGCCGAGCCGGGCGGACTCGTCGCCCGCCGACTTCCGCCACCATCACCACCACCACCACCACCAGCAGCAGCAGCAACAACAACAGCAGCAGCATCACTATGGGCTGCTCGCCCAGGGCCTGTATGGAGGTGTGGAGCTGTACCACCACCACCACCACGACGTGTCGGCGGCGATGGAGGCAGGGGGCCACGCGAAGGGCAAGGGCAAGGTCCGCCAGCCACCAGGTGGGCAAAGCTGCACCCTCCCGGCGTTGTCGCGGCTGCACCTCCACCGTGTGCCAGCGAGAGTCGGACTGGCGCCCGTACCCGCGTGCGACGGTTAGCGCGGTGAAGTACGGTCGGGCTGGTTAGCTAGCTAGCCCCCCCCCCGTCCCGGCGCGCACGGCGTGGGCGGACGACGCTCATCCAGCAGTGGAGTGACGAAAGTGCCGCGCATATATATGGTATACATGTAGAGTATATATGTGTAGTATATATTTATACTTTTAAAATATACTTGCACTCTGGTACTGTGTGTGCGGGTGTTGTGTTGGCCACCCACCCACTCGTGTGCCGTTCCGGCCTTCATAGGTGCTGCTCGCTAACAGCACTTGCCCCAATAGTCTGTTAAGGCTACACGGGGGGGGCGGGATCTTTGTCTGTGCGGTGGTGGGGAGCGGTGGCGCAGTGGTTATCGCATTGAGGCGACTTGAATTTAGGTTCCTGGGCGACGGCCGATATATCGGTGGCGAGTGAAACGCGTCGAAGAATCCGCGAGGCCTCCCGTAGGCCGACTCGGCCTTTTTACAAAGACGACTCCCTGGTGGCCACGGCTCGCCGCTCGCGTGCCTCATTCCCGGGGCCGGCATTTGCGGTGCCTGTACCACGGTTCATATTCTTAGGTTTTTTCCGTGAAGTCACGTAGTTAAAAAATAAAAATTTAAATTAATAAAAGTAAAATAAAATAAAAATCACGACGTTTCGGAGGCAACACAAGCTTCCGTCTTCAGGTGGAACCGTCACAGCCCGCTTTTAAAATTTTTTACCTACGTGACTTTACCGAAAGAACCTAAGAATATGAATCCTTGCAGTCACGAAAGCTTCAAATCTAGAATGTACCAGGGTTGTTGAATCCCCGGACCAGTGGAAATTCGTCCATCCCACAGCGCAGATGTTTTAATGTCTTGTCTTAGAAACCCACGTCTTCTTCTCACGCCCGCTTATTCCATTTAGCTCCTGCGTCTCTCTTGGCCTCTCCTTTTCCATTAATTCTTAACCAGGCGCAATTGAGACGTTAGTGGAAGGCGCCTAACAGACAACTGTCTGTTATTATTATTGTCATCCTAACATTAACCCAACCTCCTACAGCCGGGGCGTCGCCACGTCGGGACGGGACCTTTGTTTTTTAGCGAGGGGCGAGTGGAGCCACGGCTGTTTGTGGCGACACACCCAGCCCCTGTTTGGGTTAAAGCAAACACCGACGCGAGAAAATATTATTTCGTAAAATAAAAAAAACAGGGGCAGCGCTCTTTAAGGTTCCGCCGAGGGAAACGCATCACCGTCCGTAAGTGCCCCAACCGTTAAACAAACACGGAATGTGCCGCAACAGCAACAATAAACAAGGGGTAGAGGAGAATATACGTTTCCCAGCGGGGAGACGGGAGCGTTAAAATCAGTTTTTCCGCGTGCGAGACGAAACTTCTTACACCGCAGGATGGTGAGAGGTGATGGCTGCAGCGGCTTAGGTAGAGGTGCCCTTCATCCAGCAGTGGATCGAGCGTGGCCGCCGACGATGAACGTTCGCGAAAGACAGGGGCCGCCGATGCGGCGACAACGGCCACGGGGCGTCCGTCGCGTTGGCGGGAAGACGCACGGCACTTGCGCGGCGCGTCGTCCCATGTCGCGTGCCGGCCGTGGTTTTTCGCGGGCCACTCTGGCTTCTTACTATCTGATAATATTGTACTTTTTTTAAATCCTTTATATTAAGTTCGCGTGCTTGCGTGCTTGCTTGCTTGCTTAGGACCGTGCAAATCTTTCGGTCGTTTTTTAACCCACTTCCCGTGATCCAATCGAGCTGACATTTTCCACACAGACTCGTTGTGCCAGACAATTATTGTTCGTGAAAAAAAATTCCCAAAATTTTACACTTTTTAGGCAAAAAAATATTATTTTACATATATTCAAATAGAACGCATTCATGGCTTTGGCTGAACGTCAGAGTGTAAGAGCCCAGAGCGTAACCCCTCCACAGGCCGTGGCGGAGTAGCGCAGTTGGTAGCGCCCTCGCTTCCCATGCCAAAGGTCGCGGGATCGATCCCCGCGTCCTCCACAGGCGAATATATTTTTTAATCCTTTATATTAAGTTCGCTGCCACGCATATAAAGGATTTATAGTGAAAAACTTTGTTTTTACGGGTTATACTTATTTTACTGTGACCAAGTAAAAAAACAAGCCCAACCGAGCGCTGAAAAGCTCCTGTTGTCGGAAGCGACCCGGCGATTGCAAATGATAGCTCAACGAAGTTGGCGGCTTATCATCGCCAGATGACCACCACAGGGAGAGAGACAAGCAAACTCCAAATATACAGCAGGCGTCAGGATCGGGATTGAACCCACGAACTAATGCATACCAGGCGAGGTAGTTAACATCTCCTAGCCACCGTGATGATGATGAGAGAGACACGCAAACTCCAAATATACAGCAGGCGTCAGGATCGGGATCGAACCCACGAACTACTGCATACCAGGCGAGGTAGTTAACATCTCCTAGCCACTGTGATGATGATGAGAGAGACACGCAAACTCCAAATATACAGTAGGCGTCAGGATCGGGATCGAACCCACGAACTACTGCATACCAGGCGAGGTAGTTAACATCTCCTAGCCACCGTGATGACGATGAGAGAGATACGCAAACTCCATATATACAGCAGGCGTCAGGATCGGGATCGAACCCACGAACTACTGCATACCAGGCGAGGTAGTTAACATCTCCTAGCCCAGGGGTCGGCAACCAAAATAACAAGAAGAGCCATTTCTTTCCAATTCGGTACAAAATTCAGTATTTCAAGAGCCGCAATGCATCTGAGTACATACTGTACATACGTACATATCGTCAAGAAGCAGCCCGTAAAGAGCCGCATGCGGCTCCGGAGCCGTAGGTTGCCGACCCCTGTCCTAGCCACTGTGATGATGATGAGAGAGACACGCAAACTCCAAATATACAGCAGCAGGCGTCAGGGTCGGGATCGAACCCACGAACTACTGCATACCAGGCGAGGGAGTTCACATCTCACCACCACGAAATGTGAACTCCTTTGTCTGGGTGCACTGCTAAATCAGGATTCGTTTATCTCATTTGCCAGAGGATTCCGGCAAGGTCACTGGTTGTTGTCCTCTGTATAACAGCTGCTCAGCTCGGTGGGCCTTTGCTGTCCCGAGTCGCACATGACGGTGGTACTTTCGTTCCGCTTAAATGTGACCAGAGCATGTATGTATGTACATTGGAATTGATAATTGTTTTTTTACCCTTCTATCTGGCAACAAAACTGACACCTTTTTTTTACAAGGAGTCATGTTTGCATAGACCACAATACCTGCAGTCATAATGCAAACAAAAAACATAACTCTTGTTTGCATTATGACTGCAGGTATTGTGGTCTATGCAAACACGACTCCTTGTAAAAAAAAAAGGCGTCAGTTTTGTTGCCAGATAGAAGGGTAAAAAACAATTATCATTTTTTCTACTGGCAAATGAGGTTCCAGTGGTGTACATTGAACTTCTTTCACACCGTACGTAGCCGACGGTGCTAATCGGAGGTGCGGTGGGGGGGGGGGGGACACCCAAACTAACACACAAGAATCAGTTCTAAAGAAATGAGTTTGGCAAATCGAGATGATTTTAAAAGTGCGTAGCTCCCAGTGGCTTCCTTATATCGGAGGGAAAAGAGCGTTCCAGACGGCCGCAGGAGCATATCTGAAAGTGTGCGATGCGGTGGCTGGATGCCAGCAGCACGTCAATGGATTATTGAATACATCTGTGTGGAGCTTTGAGCGTCACCTCCTTGTTATGCATGCACGGGGGAGGGGTTTCCTCCACGTTTTCCGGTTTCCTGCCCACACGAAGCTTCGCAACTCTCATCGCTAATGGAATTCCTTTGCCAAACGTTCCCAAAGTGGCAGGACCCTCTTCACAAGCAATATTGAGACTCTTTTGGTGGAAGTCTTCCCCTGGGTAAACAAATAACGGTGCATTGTGCTACGCGTGATGACACACTTTCCAAGTCTGATGATTGGTACATATGTATGTTGAACTGTGCTAATTGGAGGTGCAGGGGAAGGATAGCAGTTCTAAAGAAATAAGTTTTCAATCTAAATGATTTTAAAATGCATAGCTCCAAGTGGCTTCCTAGTAAAGGTACACCTTTTACCAATCAACACACGAAGCCAAACGCTCGTCAATTTGCGGATGGCAACTGACTTCAGTGGAGGATGATAGTGGGTAAATAATTCATGGATCGACCTCCTTTCTGTAGCACCATGGATGATGATAGTCCATTGGCCTCGAGGACTTAGTCCAGGCTCGTGACAACCGCAGCATTTACGTGAGTGAGCTAACCCTGGCCTGGTTTTGCCATTCTTAGATCTCATCAGGAGGGTAAGGATTGCTAAAAAAAAAAAACTGCGGGTTTACCAAATGTGAGTTGGTGAGAGCACTCCCTCAAAATAACGGGGCCCTGTCATGCAGAGCCCTACGATTAGGCCTGAACCTAACCCAACCAATCTAAGTCAAGTCCTAACCCTAACTGAAAAGTCAATAACCTGAACTCGCATCTTAGCATTAAGCTAGACTTGATGATATGGACCTCCGATGAGTGCGGTTGGCTACGTACGGTGCGAAAGAAGTTCAACACACATACAATGTCCTAAGTCCGAACTAAAGCCAAATTCCTAACCCCAATCCAAGTTTAACAACCTGAATCATAACCCTACCCCTTAAAGTCAAAACCTAAGCGCAAACCACATGCCGATTTCTCACTCTAATCCAACGCCTAACCCTTGGCCTTCAAAGATAACCCCCCAATGAACTTGATGCCTAACCCTTAACCTGCTTCACTGTGGACGTTAAAGATCCCGTAACGTCATTGGCAAGAGTAGGCCATGGTCACGGATCACACGATCATGGCAAGTTTTGAAAGAAAAAATGAACCGCACCCCGCAGATTACTCGATCGGAAACTACACACGCACACTGCCCCTCCTGAACCAAAGTTTCACGTGTGCTTTCTCTGGGTTATACAAACTACAAACACAATGATTGCAACAACAACAACCTACTCCCTATGAAGCCTAAACTACCCTATACACCCGATGACCCAAACCCTACTTCTAACCCTATACCTGAACCAACTCACTAACCTGACCCCTGACTCTGACCCTAACCTGAACCAACTCACTTACCCGACCCCTGACTCTGACCCTAACCTGAACCAACTCACTCACCCGACCCCTGACTCTGACCCTAACCTGAACCAACTCACTTACCCGACCCTGACTCTGACCAGAACCTGAACCAACTCACTTACCCGACCCCTGACTCTGACCCTAACCTGAACCAACTCACTTACCCGACCCCTGACTCTGATCCTAACCTGATCCAACTCACTTACCCGACCCCTGACTCTGACCCTAACCTGAACCAACTCACTCACCCGACCCCTGACTCTGACCCCAACCTGAACCAACTCACTTACCCGACCCCTGACTCTGACCCTAACCTGAACCAACTCACTTACCTGACTCCTGACTCTGACCTTAACCTGAACCAACTCACTTACCCGACCCCTGACTCTGACCCTAACCTGAACCAACTCACTAACCCGACCCCTGACTCTGACCCTAACCTGAACCAACTCACTTACCCGATCCCTGACTCTGACCCTAACCTGAACCAACTCACTTACCCGACCCCTGACTCTGACCCTAACCTGAACCAACTCACTTACCCGACCCCTGACTCTGACCTTAACCTGAACCAACTCACTTACCTGACCCCTGACTCTGACCCTAACCTGAACCAACTCACTTACCTGACTCTGACCCTAACCTGAACCAACTCACTTACCCGACCCCTGACTCTGACCCTAACCTGAACCAACTCACTTACCCGACCCTTGACTCTGACCCTAACCTGAACCAACTCACTAACCTGACCCTTGACTCTGACCCTAACCTGAACCAACTCACTTACCTAACCCCTGACTCTGACCCTAACCTGAACCAACTCACTAACCTGACCCCTTGACCTCTAACCCCTCACGATGGCCATGAGCAGAGAGAGAGAGAGAGAGAGCCGCGGGGTTGTTTGAGCAGAAGCCACCGGGCGTGGCGGCACGCCCTTCCTGCCTGGCTCGGGGAGTCGTCGTCGTCGTTTCGCGAGAGACATTCCACGTGCGCCGCGGTGCGCTCCCACCGCTCGCGCCGGCTGTATCGCAACGTGCATTGTGGGTGTATTGTGGTGTATTGTGCGTGCATTGTGGGTGTATTGTGTGTATTGCGCGTGTCTATTGTGTGTGTGTAGCGCGTGTAGTGTGCGTGCATTGTGCGTGTGTGTATATTGCATGCATATCGTGTGAATTGTCGCGCGCATTGTGTGTGTATTTAAAATATTAATTGTACTTTACGCTAAAAAATACTTCCTGTTTAATGTGTCGGGTTGACGTAAGGTCACATAGAACAACAGGAGGAGGAGTGGGTGTCCTATTACGAACCCGGGAACCAAACCTCTGAGTTTTCCTATTTGCCTAGGGGGGTGTACGGATGGCGGGATTTGCCGATTTGCGATGGGCCAAGGGCTTCAGTGTGCGCAACTGTGGGGGCAGCCATCTCCCCTTCACCACCATGCTGGCACTCGCCAACGCCCGCATCTGTAATGCAGGGGGCCGTGGGTTCGATCGCGACCGTGACCCCTGCTGTATAATTCGGAGTCTGCGTGTTCTCCCCGTGGTCGCGTGGCTTTTTCTCCGCTATATGAGGAAGTCACTGGAGCTTTGCGCACTTTCAAATCATCTACATTAGAAACTCATTTCAGCAGAACTGCTATTTTTTGCATTTAGTTTCTTGTCCTCCTCCCCCGCACCTCCGATTAGCGCCGTTTGCCCCCGCACGGCATACGCACGTGCACGCATCGTCGCGCTAGGATGTAAACAGACAACAAAGACATTCATCACCAAGGCGCTCGTTGAGAGATTCACGTGCGAGGCTGTAGGCCGCACGCCCGCCGCCCGAGCCACCGAAGCCCCCGGAGTGTTTCGCTCGCGGATGGGCGAGACGCGCCGGCGGCGTTGACGGTGCGCACGCTGCCGAAGGTGCCGGAGGTGCCGGGGGTGATCGTCGCTAACGCTCGTTGTGCCCCCCCTCTCTCCCGCCAGGAGAGCCGGCGCCCGCGTGCGGCGAGAGCCGCGAGTGCGTCAACTGCGGCGCCACGGCGACGCCGCTGTGGCGTCGCGACGCCAACGGGCACTACCTGTGCAACGCGTGCGGCCTCTACCACAAGACCAATGGGCAGAACCGGCCCCTCATCAAGCCCAAGAGGCGGCCGGTGAGAGCCGCAGTGCACGCACGCTCACTCGTTGTGGTCGTCGTTGTGGTCGTCGTCGTTCTCACCATCGCCATCGTTATCAGATGCCGAGCTCTCTCCGAGCTTACATTGAGATGCAAATATCTTACATTGGCATGCTAATCTCTTACATTGACATGCTAATATCTTACAATGACATGCTAATCTCTTACATTGACATGCTAATCTTTTACATTGACATGCTAATCTCTTACATTGACATGCTAATCTCTTACAATGACATGCTAATCTCTTACATTGACATGCTAATCTTTTACATTGACATGCTAATATCTTACAATGACATGCTAATCTCTTACATTGACATGCTAATCTTTTACATTGACATGCTAATCTCTTACATTGACATGCTAATCTCTTACATTGACATGCTAATCCCTCACAATGCAATGGCCACCCCCACAGCTTCGTTTGTCAAGATTTACCCGATCTCACATTTACATGCAAATTTCATCTCTAGCCCCTCCCACTGACCTTTGGGCTACACCATCCCAAACCTTTATAACTCCTTACCTTAGCAGCGCTCCCACCATATATTCTCAGCAGCTCTCCCGATATATTTCTCACCTAATGACGATTGCTTGTGTTGCAATCGAAACGTCGTGATATTGTTATTATTTTAAAATTTTTTATTATTTATTATTATTTTATCTATCTACGTGGCTTCACCGAAAGACCCAAGAATATGAATTCCAGCAGTCCCGAAAGCTTTAAGTCTACTTGGTCATCTCACAGGCGCATGCCTTCGGACTGACATAGGGACCCGTCGACTCACACGGCGACCCATAGACTCGCATAGACACCCATAGACTTATAGAGAGATATATAATAATAATAAGAAGCAAGATTGATCTTGCTAAGCTTCTCGAACTCCAGGCCGGTTCTGGGTGATTTTGGCTGTCGCGCAAGACACACACACACGCAGTACATACACTTGACACGCGCACACACACACATACAAAATACACACACACACGATACACACACACGACACACAACACGGCACACAACACGGCACACAAACGATATGCACACACCAGGCGCACACACATGACACACACGACACACAATGCGGCACACACACGATACACACACACCAGGCACACACAACACGGCACACAACACGGCACACACACCAGGCACACGACACACACACACGACACACACACACGACACACACACACGACACACAACACGGCACACAACACGGCACACAACACGGCACATAAACGATACGCACAGACCAGGCGCACACACACGACACACAATACGGCACACACACGATACACACACACCAGGCACACGACATACGTCACACAACACGGCACACACACCAGGCACACGACACACACACACGACACACACACCAGGCACACCAGGCACACACGACACACACACGACACACACACACACATACCAGGCACACACACGATACGCACACCAGGCACACACACACACACACGACACACACACACGACACACACACATGACACACGTGCTGCTGTCGTGTTCACTTCCGTGCCCTCGGCTGTTTATTGGATGTCCGGATGACACATTGTCCACGAGTCCCTTTAAAAAAGTAGGGAGGGGGTTGGGGGGCAGGGGGGGCCGGGGGGGGGGTGGAGGGAGGGGGGCAGAGGGGGTAGGAGGCAGGGGAAGGGGAGGGGGGCTCAGCTTTTTCACGGGTCACAAGGGCAGGGTGGGAGAGGGGGTCACGGAGGGATTGGGTGTGGGGCTAAGTCACCAACACTCACGTGACCCCTACGTCGACCCACAACGACCAGCGTGGCGAAGTATGGTCAAACAACCCCCCCCCCTCACTGTGTCCATTAGGTACTGGGGGGGTGGGGGGGAGGGATCCATCCAGCGGTGGAAGAGCTGCCTCCTGAGAAGCAGAAGGCTCCACATGCAAGCCAGAGTAGGCCCCGTTCTATCTCCTGGCGAGGCAGCCCAAACTACGGGGGGTGTTTATTAAGTCCCCAGGCCTCTGCACGCACAGCAGTGTGAATGGGTGGGGGGGGGGGGGCAGGTCACGTGGTCGCCTCCGGCAGGTCGCGTGCGGTGGGGTGGTCAAGTGTGGGGTGACTCCATCCTCTTCCAGCGTGGAAGAGTAGGCCAAGTACCCTCTAGAGAGGTAGAACTCTCTAGAGAGCTGCCTCTTGCTGTCTATAACTCTCTAGAACTCTCTAGAGAGCTGCCTCTTTCTCTCTAAAGCTCTCTAGAACTCTCTAGAGAGAGCTGCCTCTTTCTCTCTAAAGCTCTCTAGAACTCTCTAGAGAGAGCTGCCTCTTGCTCTCTAGAGCTGTCTAGAACTCTAGAGAGCTGCCTCTTTCTCTCTAGAGCTCTCTAGAGCTCTCTAGAGCTCTCTAGAACTCTCTAGAGAGCTGCCTCTTTCTCTCTAGAGCTCTCTAGAACTCTCTAGAACTCTCTAGAGAGAGCTGCCTCTTGCTCTCTAGAGCTCTCTAGAGCTGTCTAGAACTCTAGAGAGCTGCCTCTTTCTCTCTAGAGCTCTCTAGAACTCTCTAGAACTCTATAGAGAGAGCTGCCTCTTGCTCTCTAGAGCTCTCTAGAGCTCTCTAGAACTCTCTAGAGAGCTGCCTCTTTCTCTCTAGAGCTCTCTAGAACTCTCTAGAACTCTCTAGAGAGAGCTGCCTCTTGCTCTCTAGAGCTCTCTAGAAGCTGTCTAGAACTCTCTAGAGAGACTGCCTCTTTCTCTCTAGAGCTCTCTAGAGCTCTCTAGAACTCTCTAGAGAGCTGCCTCTTTCTCTCTAGAGCTCTCTAGAACTCTCTAGAGAGAGCTGCCTCTTGCTCTCTAGAGCTCTCTAGAGCTGTCTAGAACTCTCTAGAGAGCTGCCTCTTTCTCTCTAGAGCTCTCTAGAACTCTCTAGAACTCTCTAGAGAGAGCTGCCTCTTGCTCTCTAGAGCTGTCTAGAACTCTCTAGAACTCTCTAGAGAGCTGCCTCTTTCTCTCTAGAGCTCTCTAGAACTCTCTAGAACTCTCTAGAGAGAGCTGCCTCTTGCTCTCTAGAGCTGTCTAGAACTCTCTAGAACTCTCTAGAGAGCTGCCTCTTTCTCTCTAGAACTCTCTAGAACTCTCTAGAGAGCTGCCTCTTTCTCTCTAGAACTCTCTAGAACTCTCTCTCTAGAGAGAGCTGCCTCGAGCGTAAGCCCATCTGGCAGCAATGGCGTGAGCAAGCAATTGCAGGGCTGCGCCTTCGCCTCCTCATCATGATAATAACAACGACGGCAGCTTTACAGCCGTCTGTGATTCTCAAGACTGGACGGAGGAGTCCCACTGACGTTGGCCGCCGTGTGCCCGTAGTCGTAGCGGAGCAAAGTCATCGAAACCTTTAACTTTTACTCAAGAGTCGGAGAAGCAGAGAGTCGCGATGCCCGCCGCTGTTGGGAGGCGGGGTTCGGGGTGGAGTCGAGGCAGCGGGCGTGGGGTGGGGGGCCACTGTTGTTCAACGTCTTGGGGGGGCCACCTGCTCGGGTTTCACCACCGGCCGGCCTCGCTTGCGACAGCGGGTGGTGTGTGGGGGGCGGAGTGGTTTGGGGGGGGGGGGGTTGGCGTGCGAGAGCCGCTGCGAGCGTTGGCGGGCGCGCGTCCGTGCGGTTTCCTGCGGAAGTGTGCCTGCATCGCGATAAGAGGCGCACTTCCCACTACCACGGCCGCCTGTTTCCTGAGCTGCCCCCCTCCCCCGCTCCTCCTATGTGGGCCCCCCCCTCCAGTTCACCCGCCCCCCACGACCGCCCCACGCAGCCACATTCCCAACGGTCAAAACAGAATCTTGTTGTCGATTGACTGGAAATTGTGCGCGCTGCGGATTGTTTTTTTCGCGCGTCTCTCTTTTACTTTTTTTTCTTTCATTTCTGCTTCGTTTTTATCGGCGCTCGAATTTTTATTTTTTTCGACCGAGCGCCGCGTAAAATGGGCCACTTCGTGCTTTTCGCACGGGTACCCGTCCCCTGCCACGCGAGCCCGTCCCCTGTCACGCGAGCCCGTCCCCGCCACGGGAACGTGGAATGCCCACTCCGCATGATGCCTCACCGGGCTGCTCGAGCAGAGTGCGCGTGCTCTGACAGTCGGCGCCACGAGCCGCTTCAAATCCGGACCCACGCGGGTTTCGCAAAGCGTGGCGAGAAGGCCTTCAAAGGCCTTCATTTCTCGCCGCCTGACTCGCCGGTTGCTGGGAGACTGCAGTGGCTGGACACGTGGCCGCAGCCATAGCGAGAGACGTCGACTGGATGTGGAAATGCTTTTTTTGGATAGCCGACTTACTCACAACAGATTGCGTTGAAAGTATGCCGCGCGCAGCCTTGACACGGAACTCATAGATTTACGTAGAACCCCCAGACTTAAAGGAGGACTCATTGCCTCACATAGAACCCAGACTTACATATGACCCGTAGACTAACATTGGACTCATAGACTTACATAGGAACCCACAGACTTAAAGGAGGACTCATTGCTTCACATAGAACCCAGACTTACATATGACCCGTCGACTAACATTGGACCCATAGACTAACATAGGACACGTTGATGACTCGTGGCCAACACAGCACCCACAGACGAATTCACGAGGGGCTCCGAGCTTGAAATGATCAGGGAACGACTTTGTCCAAATCCTGCCTCTCCATCGGCATCGGAACAATTCCCCTGTGGCTCTCGCGGTGGCGGGCGGCACAGCGGCGAGGGCGGCGGCGTGCCACGTGTGTGCGCCAAACTCCGGCGCCGGTTCTGGCACGCGTGCGACACCCCGGCGTGTTGTTCAATTCGAGGCAGTGACCGGTTAGTGGTGGCGGTGGTGGCGGTGGTGGTGGCGGTGGTGATGGTGGTGGCGGTGGTGGTGGCGGTGGCGGCGGTGGTGGCGGCGGTGGCGGTGGTGGTGGTGATGGTGGTGGCGGTGGTGGCGGTGGTGGTGGTGGTGGCGGTGGTGGCGGTGGTGGTGGTGGCT